TCATCGGGCTTACGGGGCATTGAAACAGAATACACGCCGGCCCAATGCGTGACATCCTACCACGTCCTCCGAAAATGCTATGTAAAGAAATTAGACAGAAAAATGTAAAAGAAACCGTGAATGTAAATTTCGAAGTGTTGAGCGTTGATGAACAAGCTGCTGCGTCGGGTGAGAGGCAGCTGGAAGTTGATTGGGGATTGTGTGGAATAGGAAATGGAGTAGAAGGTAGTTGGCTCAACGAAGATCTCGGTGTAGCTCGGCAAGCTAACACCCATGCAGATCTTAAAATCCGCCACAGTAGGTGCCGACACTAGGCCAGATGGCAGAGCATTCCACGTCCGGCAGGGACGCAAAGCGGTGTCGCCTGCAGTTCAGCCGATGGTACTGACATTTGGGCCTACGTGCGTAAACACATGCGTAAGGAGTACGACTGATGCAGTGTCTGTAAGTGGCTGCAGGTAAGCCCAGGGTTGAATAGTATCGTAATCAGGAGGTTACATTCGACCCGGAGACGTCGGTGTTTTAGGGAATAGAAACCCAGGCACTGAAGCGGTTGTGGCGAAGTCAGGTGTTGTATACCTAGTACCACCTTTGTAGCCCGGCATTTTGGGACGTCAGTACACGTTGGTCCTTCAACAAACAGTAGATTCAAGTCTAAATAACAAAGTGGGGAAGAAGAAAAGTATTGAGGCGGAGGCGAAACTTGCTAGGGTAAATATGACTGAAGACTTATTTCAACAATCGCACTATGCAGTTAGTAACAGAAGCTGCCTTCCGCTGGCCTTGACCGAAGTCAGAATTAAAGTTTCAGAAGTTTAGGCATGACGCCCTGTGCGTTCGTGTGCATACAGGTGAAGCTCGCTTTGCGGCTGAGCACGGAAGTAGTTAGCCTGCTGCCTGTCAATAAGGAACCGGCGGTGCACCGCATTTTTGTTTAAGTGAGTTAAACCGCTTAATTCGGTAGACGGGGAAGCAAGGTGTGGGTCGTCGGAGTTGAAATGGATAGCGGCGTATGTTTGCTTGAAAGGTTGAAGGTTAGAATCTGTGAGTGAGGGGAGTACTCCGGGCACTGACGCTGTTGGTTCGATGATGGACCGACTGGAGACGGATGGTCAGTGTGTGTCGGTACGCAAGGGGTTGCTGATACTATCGGCGCGTGGGAAGCTGTGCGTCTCGGCAGCAGGTGACCTTTAGAACGCCGACGGATATTTAGTGGTGCTCGTCATTTAGTGGCATACCAGATGATGACGGCATCGGTTGCGATGCTAGCGGTGAAGAAGGTTCCTTTCAGTAGATTTGGGCTATTCTTGTATAACTGGCTGGACGAGGTGGGCGGTGCATGACTGTCCTGCTTACGTTGACAATATTTTGTGTTTGCTGGTGACATTGTTGGTGCCGGTATGTACCAAGGGTGCAGCGACTATGTGACGAGTGTTTGGTAGATACGCCTAGGCATAGCTAAAGCTACGGCGCTGCGACGTGCAATGAATGAACTCGTGATAGTGGCTAAAGCCTGAAACAGACCGCTTAGTGCATGAGCCAGGATGTCGCCGAAAGCCGGTATGTACGGAAGGTGCAGCGACCATGCGGTGTGTTAGCAGTAATTAAGCATCAGAATATTTGATGGTATACAGGCCGGTATCTCAACAACGGAGGAGAGGCAGCACTACAAAAAGGTGAAGTGCATTTTAGGCGCTGCATACGTTATAACCCAGTCAAAGAGCTCGTGGATGAGTGGCTGACGTTTAAGTCGCATCACCACCACACACCAGGTCTCGGACTTATGAGGTATAAGGATTGTGCAGTATACGAAAGGAGCAGCGAATGGTAAAAGATAATAATAACAAACTGCTGGAAGCCATTAGAAAGCAATGCTTCATAAGCAGTCATTCTTAGACCGGAAAGTGCCCGTTGCGTCAGGCTTTGTGATTCTAGGTGGCTTCGTCCACAGACCAGCTTAAAGCTAACAAGCGGTGGTTTGGCTTACAGACCGATTATAAAACGTTTGCATAAGGCTTTGTGATTCTGGGTAGCATTGCCCACAGACACGCTTATAGCTACCAAGCGGGGGCTGGACTGAGGTAGGCCTGCTATAAAGCGCCCGTACTAACTTTTCATATTCCCTGTACGCTAGTTTACAGGTCGGAATAAATCTATGCATATGCGACTTAGCTGACAAATATCAGTTAAAAATCGGTTGCGCCGACCCCCATAAGCCAGGGAGGCTTGTGCAATTACCCGTTGGAATCATGACTGAGGTGCCTTAGCTGACGTATACCGTTAACACAACGGTTGCAATATTCTTCACGAATCATGGTAGCTCCATTCATCATCTAGATCACACACCGTTATTCTACTTAAACTATGAACGACACTGGTTTAAGTAATATGATGAGAATACTGGTGTTGCACGATGATATCCTTTCGCGCTTTCTAAACAAATAAAGACGAGTGACATTTAACGATTACGAAAGGGGAAATCAACGGTTTAAAGGATGTCAGAATGGGAACGGAAGGGAAAGAACGAAAGTTCACTACAGTGTCAAAATTTCCCTTCTATCACTAATGGCCATTCAAAAGGGATGAGGTGGCTACGCAACTTGAGTGGCGTGTTGCCACCGCAATTCAACGTACATTTAGTGTTGCAAAACTATGCCCCACTGGGACAACTAGTTAGTTACCAACGCCTCCGGTTAAGCTCTCGCAGTCAAACTCTGCCACAACACACTGCATCTACCACTTTGTCTGTAACTGTGGAGGCATTTACTTCCGGAGAACAGACCGGTGTCTGCGCAAGCGGAGCGGTGCGCAAACCCCGTAAGGCGTTGCTGTAAGTGTGGCAAAGCAATCGCAGGGACAAGAGTCAAAATCAAATTATCGGCCGCTTTGATAGCCAGCCATCTACTTAGAACGGGGCACCAAATTTACGCTAACTTGGAGTTTACATTTATCTACCGTAGTGAGTACGCCAACATACTCAAACTCGCGGTGGCTGTGGCAATTAATGACAGCAGTTCGGACCTATGTGTGCAAAACCAGTCGAATGTCACCCTCAAGCTACCTTTGGTATGTGACATTTGTTTCAAATGTGGTGATTCCGTTGGAGCTTATGCCCTTATGTTCCTTCCATTCACATTTTGACGCCATTTAAGTCATTGCTTTCCCCTTTCGCGATCGATACACATCGCTGCTTTGTATGTGATAAGCGAGCGCAAAATGCTATCATCGTGCAACGCCCGTCTTCTCCTTTTATTATTTAGACTGATACAGGCAACCCAGTGCTTCAAGACAAGTTAGTTATTTAATTGGTTCTGCAAAAAGGTAGGTGGGTCAACCTAACATGGTCCATACGTCAGGAAGAATCTCTTGTGCCCACTAGCTTATCTTTTACCAGCAGCCGCTTCATTTCCTAGTTAAATAAAGCTCCGCATGAGCCTCCAGTTAAAAGTGGTATAAAGTTACAAGGATACCTACCCGAAATATTGCTTTGCACGCCGCATCCAGAGTTGGCGGTAGTTTGTTGTGCGTTAGGAAGGCCCTAACTATCTCTGTTTAAACTTGGAGGCTCATTTGGAGTAGGTACCTTTTTAACTATCCAGTAATAAATGAATTAATTAATAATTTATTCTCGATAGTCTCGAGGCACCCCTTATCAGGCATGATCAACTTTTTACGGAAAACCTTTTGCAGTAGATGCACTGTGTTGCTTGCATAAATGATGAAAGTACATGTGAAAAACATCAGATGAATTGGCAATTATTTGCTTCAAAGTAGGTGTAGCGTAATGTGGAAATTTACAGCTTGTGGGTTGGTTATGGTCGGTGATTTTATAAAATATGGCATGTTAAACAGTAACACCGGCTCTGTGTGTCTGTAAAAATGCACGTGCATGTGTCAGTGGGCATTGTGAGTGCACTTGTGAAGGGTGTCTGCATTCGTGAGTCTGTTTGCTGTGCTCCCCATCGTATAAAGAGGTTAGCGAACCTCTCCGAATTGCATGACGTTTATGAAGTGGGGATCCTCTGGAAGGGGAAGAGGCAGTGACTTTATTTATAGGCGAGTCACATCCGCCAGGTGACAGTGATGTTATGGACAGATGTCCAGTTCAGGTATTAATGCATTACTTGCCGCTAAATGCATTTAGTTTGACATTTGTTAATAAATTAATAGTTGATATGCATTATATTTGCTATTATTTGACCATAACCCTAGTGGTTTAAATGCATCCGAAGGTCTTTTTATTTGGCCAGTTTCGGTTTCGTAACCTTGGTCGCTGATACTGCTTCGTTCTGCGCTATTGTCTAGCTTCCTTGAAACTGCGTTTCCGCAGGTGTACCTATCAGGTTTTTCGGTTAAAACTTGTTTGATACGTAGGTGTTCCTTTTCAGCATGTCACGTCGACGAAGTTATCAATTAACTGCACAGTTTCCGTCTCGTAGCACCATTTACCGTGCAGCGAAAAGAATGACATCAGGATTCAGCTACGAAGAGGTTGGAAATGTAGAGATGTGCACATATAAGGGTCAGAAGGCGTTTTGTTTGCACGGCATTTTGTTTTCCACTGTGAAGCCGGATAACGTGGTCATCATCGATGCCAAACCCAGAGTACTGACAGATGTGTCTGTGAATGTGTCCGGGAACATTGTCGTGCAATGCCGGGAATTTATGAATCTCCGTAGTCTGTTCACGCATAGCATGGATTCCTCAACGGCGTACATATTCCGTGCATCGCAATTGTCAACTGAGGTATGTAGCTTCTCTGTCTGTCATATTCTATTTAAGTGCATTGCTTTACCCTTGAACGATTTCCTTGTAATCTACCCTATGCCACACAGTTATACACTTTAACTACTAACGTCTTTCTTTTTCAGCAATGATGGCTTTTCAAGGATACAGCGTTGTCAAACTCCTTGACTCCGAGGATTTAATAACTATTGTCAGTAACACTTGGCTTAGAGAAGAAGGTTCGTACGCTCAAATACCTTCAGTGCGGGGTACGCACTACCATGCAGCGGTGAAAAATCACACTGCGCCGGATGTCGATGTGGTCAGCACTGCCGTGTCCATAATCGTTAGCACGAGTAAGTATTTCTCTTATATTAACCCACCTCGTTAGTTAGCTTCCAGCATGCCCGAGAAATGGAACGGCAATCTGAGCGCGGGATGCTGCCATCGACAGACGATACAATTCCCATGGGCCTTCCAGCTAAGCGCGCAATGTGAGTATGGTTTTTTATTTCCCCTTAGACGCCGGCCCGTCCGTTCTAGCTCCGATGACGAGGATGCCGCGCGTCCAAGCAAACCCAAAAGGCCTTCTGCAGCAACATACGCACGTGCGCCCTCCTCTCTGTTCAGTGGCATTAGTCCATCACGTCCAGGGCCATCAACAAGCAACCGTAAGTATCGATTTCATACTGCCCCTATTAAACAGTAATCGCGCCCCCGGTTATTGCTGACGTCGCACCATGCAATCTGGATGTGCTGCAGGAACTGCAGGCCATAAAATGTAAGACGCCACCGATGTATTGCATTGCACTCAGCCTTATTTTTAGATGAGTTGTGTCTCATTCGATCAGAATTGGTCGGCCATCGCCGCATGTCCGAAGCGATGTTGCAAATGCTACAACGACAATCCCAAAGTGTTGCGCCGGGACTATCTCTGCCATTCATCTCTCTCAGTGAGCTAAAGAGATATGATGAACGGCTGAAGGACCCCGATTTCAAAATCAGAGTCGTAAGTTCGTCTTATTATTCAACTAGTTTAGGTCAACCATTTATGTGCTGTGCACGGTGATAACGTGCAACTCATCGTCCGGGGTACCATGGAGCGGCTAATGACAAGATCAGTTGCCGCGGAGATCAATTACTCCGGCGCTAGAGGTTCGTTTGCATTCAGGCGAACAAATATGAACGGCCTTGTACAAGGTAGGTTGAAATGCAGTAATCCATAAAAACTACCAAGATCATTCGGCAACGCATGGGTGATGCAGCCTCGGATGCTGACATTACACGGCACATCAAAACGTGGTTGCATTCTGCACGGCACAAAAGACCGCCGGTTGAGCAAACTAAAGTATGCAGTGCGAATGAGGTGAGTCCCCTGCTTCCTTAGGCACATCTTTAGCCTCCTACGTTGACACTCGCGGAAGCGGATTAACAATATTGACTATGCCGCTTTCTGCTACTAACGTCCTTTGTACTGCACCCCTTCATGTATATATAGCATTCCTATACCTCGGTTTTAATTTTCTTTCGTCTTGTGATGTCAGGTGCGCGGTAAGAGCGGTTTCCTTTTCTGACCAACAGCTTTGAGTCGCCGCCTAGGTGGGTTCCCAAGTCCAGCAACTACCGCAACAGGTACCGGGTGAACGCTAGGTCCGAGCCGTCCATATATTCGTTAGGCGCATAGTGCGTTCAAGTGTGGTGTCCGTATTCGGATACCCATGGGAGGCAATGACGGGATCTGGATCAGCCGGATTGTCACGCATAGTGGTGAATTTCTATTGGTCAACGCTAGCATCATCTTCATTGGTCCAACCTAAACTGGACAGGAACCCTTTTTAGCCGTCTCACGGTAATACTTCCTGTCCAGTTTAGCCTAATGCTGTCATAGGAACGTTTAGGATGCCAAACTGGACAGGACCTGGACATGTGCTACCAGGGCTAAACGGGCCTTTGTGATTTTTATAGGTGAAACTCTTACCAGGCGAAAACTCACCACGTCCTTAATCACTGTCGCCGAACTATTCGCTGGAACGGGAGTAACCTGAACAACCCAACTGGCAAAACGTATAGGTTGTTCGGCTAGTCCGCTTCTTCTGGAACATGGAGCTGCTGCGGGGATCAGACGTCAAATTACTGGGGACTCTTGTTTGCTGACCGGTGCAAAAAACAGGACGACCGTTAGGCGGAAGCCCTATCGTCCTTGGCAGCTGACCTGACCTGATCTGAACGGTTGTCATTTACGTCATAAAATCGTCCGGTTAGCCTAAAATCGACAGTAAACTAATTTGACTTTTAAATGCCATCCATCGTCCAGTCTACCACGCGCGTTCTAAAGTTCTCGCAATAGAACTTCCGGTTACCGCGCTAATTGTACCTATTTCAATTCAGGCGCGAAAGGTTGACTATGAGCGTACCAAGAAAATTAAACTAGGCTAGTTAAACTTATGCAACGTCATTTTAATGGTTAGTCAAACTGCTTTGAATGAAGAAACTTTATTTTTGGTTCGTTTCCTGTATGCACGTATACCTGCTTCAACTAATCTTAAGCTCTGTTATTAACGTCATCCATTGCGATCATGTATTTGGTGAATAAAATAAGTAGAGGAAATGGTTCAGCCTTTTATTTGGCTTATGCGTCCAGTGTCTATTTCCATTGTTTGGCAATTGCCAGTTGCATTTAACTACATCGGTTATCCGCTACCATAACAACCAGGGCAGGGGCAATGGTATGTTCTTTTGAAAAGTTCATTTAAGTGCTTAGCCTCCAAGTAGTGTTCACAGCCTCAAGAGCCAAGGAAGCAGTTTACAATCAAACAGATCGAATTGCTCAAGAAAATCGAAGGGGTATTCTTACCGCACCATAGGTAGACAATCAGTAGTTGATGAAAATCTTTTCGGGGACCCTAACAGACTAAAGGAGAAACAGGTTTACTTTTGAACATGCATCTGACGTTTGTTTTCAGAAGAACACTAACAATATCAACAGCAAGGAGGAGGCTCAAATTAATGTTTTTCGCCCTGGTATATCTGAAACAAACTGCGAAAAGGAGCGGATTTTCAGGGGCACTCGACGCATAAAACACGTCGCCAGTGACCTTATAAGGGAACTTATGTAAGTCAACATTTTCCAACACACGGATTCATAGAATTCCTGAGGAGGAACCTAACACGAAATCTATTATTTTGACTCAAGATAAGTACAATGAGCTCAAAGAGAAGGCACATGTAATCAACGATGATGACGAGAGGACAGCTATCCAAAAAGCCAAAGCGGCCAAAGAAGCAGAAGCAGTGAGTTTATTTGTGCGAGCCGGTGGTTTTAATTCGCTATTAATGTCCATTGAAGTAAATGGTCAGCCATGGCTGGATGCTTCCGTTTCGGCGTTTTCAGCAACTCATAGATATATGGAGAAAATAAGACGTAACACGCGCTAATTTCAATGGAATTACAAAATGTAACGCTACCTTATTGCTTTCTGCCATAATCTATATCACTGTCTGCACGAGTGACAAGAACACCCTGGCGCTCCTGCAGTTCCTGATGAAGATACAGGCTTTCGCCTAACGAGCGTCCCGCTTCTTGAACCCGTAAGCGAACCGAGCCCCTGGCACTTCGAGGTTACAATGATTCTCCGTATTACTACGAAAAAAGAAGAGGGAACGATAGCAATCTCGTAGTCACCTTTTAGTAACCTTACAATAATTCAGGAAGAAGGTCTGGCCAACATTTATCTTGGATACGTTTACAAGCTTATAAAGTTTCATATTCTGTTGAATCAGGGGGAAGCCTATTTTAAGTGCTCATGACACGAGTAGTGAAAAATTTTTCCCCTGATCTTCTGAGCTTAAGCCGATGTCCACGCAAGTGGGCAGATGTAGCCAGTTAAACCAAATCTGTAGGATTGTTCCCACTGACGCCCCTCAACCTCTTGAACGTTTTAATTAGGTCACCTCTTAGTTCGTATTGCTCTACAGAAAATAACCCTACACTTATTAAACGGTCTTCCTATATCTTTCTACGCTGCTCTTCGATCATTGTGATCTCCAGTTTTTGAATCTTTTTAATACAAATAGAGTCACTACGTAAATAAGGCATGCAAACCTCAACACAATACTCTAGATGTGGTCTAACCATTGATTTATACAACGGGAGGAAACTTCTGGGTTAACGTTACACAACGTGCGCATGAGACAAACTAGCGTCTGTCGCGCCTTGTTAGCAGCATGGCGACACTGTGCGAAGGGTTTGACATTGTTTGCCATGATGAATCCAATATCACGTGTTTGGATAGTAGTCTGCAGTGTCAGGGACCCTGAGGAAGTCTAAACTGTAAGTTCATCGTTTCTAGCGGTCAATAACTGACATTTATTATTATTTAGGGGTAAGTCTCATTGAATCTATCGATTGACTACCGTGGTAACGTCTTTAGAATGGGTTTCACGATTACTCCTGCTGACCAACTTCAGGTCGGCAGCAAGATTGTAGCAGGGTTTTCAATTAGAGGTGCCAGGACATTAACAAACATTAGAAATAGCAAACGACCTAGTACCGAGCCTTTGGGGGACGCCACTATAAGCCACGCCTACACTAGATCTTGTATCACCGATTTTGACACAAAAACATCTTCCACGTAAAAGTGCTGAAACCCAACTTAACAGTTTAGCGTGCATCCCAAACTAAGTTAATTTCTCGAGTAAGAATTGATGGTTCATTGAGTCAAAAGCCTTACTAAAGTCCAGATAACAGACTTCTACTGACATCCCTCTATCAAGACATTGAGCACTCACGTCCAGAAAAAACAATAAGTTCGTAAAGCACAAGTTATTTTAGATGAAACCATGCTGTTTGCTTCTAATTAGGTTGTGCTCGGTCAAGTGCCTAAAGATTCGGTTTTTTAGGAGCTTTTCCAAACATTTAAGCAAAACGCTGGTCAAGCTCACAGGCTTATAGTTGAGGGAGCCGATTTAGACCCATGTGGATGCAACTATGATCGCCTTCTTCAGGTCTCCTGGTAGCTTACCTTCCTGAAGTAACATGTTGAACAATTCTGTTACTGGATGTTGGAGCATATCCGCTAGTGGCTTAACGTTGGCTGATGTACCTTGTCAGGAGCAGCCGATTTATAGGAGTTCAATGTAGTCAATACTGTGAATACCCCTAGGACAGTAAGAGTGATGTCTCGCGTTGTATTTGCTATTGAGCAGTGTGGTTACAGTGGCAACGTATACCCATTATCGCTAAGGTGTAAATTTTGGAAGACACGATGCGGCACTTTCACTTTATCGACAATTTCTACAGGCTGATTACCATCTTACATAGTCAGACAACCGAGCGCCTCCTTTACATAAGCTTTCAACTGAACATAACTTTAGATACACGGGATTCGCTTTCGCTAGCTGGGCTAGCCTCAGCTCATATGAGTATTTGAGCTGACGTTGCAATTTAATGGCTACGTTTCTATATTTTTGTACTGCAGCCAAATTAAAAAATCCCGATAGTTTTGGAAAATTTTCACTTAGTATTGCGCGATTTACTTACTCCTCGACCATCGTAGCTTATTTAGCCGCCTTCTAGAATGGAGGAGAGCGAACTCATCTTGCAGTTGCACAAGACCGCTTTTAAGCGTTAGCTATTTTTCAAGGAATTATGTTCCTGATCTGAGATCCAAGAAAACTAAAGGGCTCTCTCCCTTAAATTTTTATAATCAAGTCCACGAAAGTTCTTCACATATCGAGAAAGCTTTGCAAGTTTGGGTGGGTTTAGCGGAAGGTAAAAACGCAGTGATCGCTCCTGCCTATAGATGCATTACTACAGAGATCGTCTACGAGACCATGCTTGGTGATAGCGACATCTATGGTTGAAGGATTATTTCCTATACGAACCCTCGTTTAGTAACTTACGTATTGCTCCAGTACGTTCTCATGTGCCCATTCTACTAAATCTTTCTCCAAACCATTTGCCCCACTGATTGCATGACGCCAATCGGCGTGCGGAAGATTCAAGTCACCACTGACAAAAAGGATTGGCGCAGTGCCCACCGCGTGCCTTAATAACGGTACAAGTAAATTCTCCCTTTCTCGTGAGGACCTTGGACTGTCTAGTTGCTAGGCCGTTGAGATTACATACATACCTTGGACTGCGGTAGACCCATATCCTGATTTCCAGCCTATCACCTACTCGCAAAAAACAAGACACAAACTGGACGTTCGCACTACACATGGTGAATGAGGCCTCTCAATGCTTGTATTGAGACTTTACAAGCGAAAGCACTCCACCACTCACTTGGTAATCAGGCCTATCTGCCCTGTAACCAACAAAGTCAAATAGTAATTCGCTAACAGGGTCACTTGAAGAAAGCTAGGTCTCTGTCACAGCGACCACATCAGCACAGTTACAGCGCATCATCAGTTTACCCTATTTATTACTGACACTGCATCATTTGGTTTACCACAGACTTCTGTGCGAACCTTTTTCCCCTCGGGTGTAGGACCCAAGGGAATAATCCACTTTTTCCGTCTTGTTACTGCTACCATCCGCTTGAGCAGTTGAAATAACTTTGGGTTGTGTTGAAGCATCAAGTTTCAGCTTTTTATCTGGTTCATCCCGCTTTGGTTTGTTGACTAAACACCCGACCGGTGTCTTCTCTCTTAATTGAGTGGACTTAGCAGCAGCGGTTTTTAATTTATCGGTAGGGCTAAGCCCAGATTTTTTAGCATATTTATTTTCAATACACGTTTGTGAAAAAGTGTGGCAAGTCATAGGTCTTCGTGTCACTGATACGACGGATGAATCAAGTTTTTCAGAGCGCACATCCCTTGCCTCCCTCACCACATCATGACTTTCTTCCTCCACCATTGAGACTGGAACTGTCTTGTCATCCAACGGACATTTGTGGTCACCCGTGTGGAGTGTGAAGTATTTTCCTATAGCCATATACCTGCGCAACGAATTTTGTTTAATCGGTAAGTTGGTTTGCATCCATCTGGACTATATGGATTTCCAAAGGTGCACAAGCCACACGTACTTCTGTGCCTGATAATTGACATATCTTCCTCTGCCTTCCACTTTGTTGTAAATTGTTCTGTAAAAATGTTTTAGCCAGTAAGTAGAGAAAGTCCCACTCAAATGTTAAAAGACCCATTTGGATTTTTTAACACGTAGAGAGTTCCAGCAATAACGATGGACTCATGATTTTACTCTATGTGGAATCGCGTTTTAACAATGTCCCATTGCTAGAGATCGTCAACGTTCCTTGTGAATACAGTTCTGTGAATAACGCAGACGTTGGTATTCCAATACTAATTTTGCAATGCACCTTCAATAGACATGGTTTATTTGATGGCAAGCACTACATACAAACTGATGGTGTAATGATGGGGTTCCCCTTGGACCGATACGTGCTGACGCTTTCTTAGCAAGGCTTGAACGTAGGCTCTCACATTCGGTTAACTCATCGCTTGATTTATACTGCAAGTATATGGATTAAAACGGGAAAACCAATCTGGAGACTCAGAAAAACTAGAGACTTCTCAATAGTATTACAGCTACACGAATTCGTCGTCTGCGTCAAGCACTCACAAATGAAACGGATTAAAAAGGAGGAGGAAAACGCCTTGCGGATGACCTGCAACCGAAAGGAACCTGCCAACTTACTTTACCATAGGACTAACGATCGAATGCCTTTGCTTGCAGAACTTATTGTTGAAAAGTGTCGCCACCTTAACGACCAACCAGCTACTTGCGAAACGTTTAGCCCTTTTTTTGCTGCTTCCATGAACGTAGAAACCGACCCTATACCTTGCTGTCCGGAACTTACAACAAACGTCATATGTAACTTCGAGATTTATCTTTCGACCATCTAACAGGGTATGAAATCCATCAAGGCATCGCTCAAGCCACACTCCGATGACATCCCCATCAGGTATTAAACTCGGTAGACCTAACATACCACTGCATTGTTTAACATGTTCACCTTTTCCTTAGCATCTAGCTACTTTCCAGACCAGTGGATAACCTCGTTTATTGTCTCTCGTAATAAAGGGGACCAAAACGGCACGTCACTAACAATTGACCTATACATCATAATTATTTCATCGCTAGATTATACGAAAAAGTAGGTTAAAATGGAAGCACGAACTTTATCCATCGTCATAGGCTGCTAAACAACTCGCAGCATGGGTTCCCTAATACACGTACTTGTACAACATGTCAGTTGCACTACCAGGATTACATCACAGAAGCCATTGACTCTAAATCTGCAGTTATAATACTGCTCCTGGATATGCAAAAT